CTCAGGCAGAAGGAGGGATCAGACTGAGAGGGGCATTCACATGCAAAAAAGAAAAAAACTATGCCATTCAGAGGACATGCTCGGCAGGCCGGCCAGGAGGAGGGAGACTGGCATCTGAAGGCGAAGGGGAAACTGAGCCCAAGCAGGTGGGACTCGGGGACTTGGAGTCTGGAGTCGGGAAGGCAGAGCCAGTCTGGGCTGCAGTATTGAGAGACAGTTGCCAGGGGATCAGCAAAAGCAAGACAGGCCACGGCGTCAGAGAGCTGAGTGTTTTAATGGTGACAAACATGACGACTGCAGTGTAGATAGCACGGGGGAGCCTGTTCCTGGAAGCGGAGCTTGGGAGCAGGGGACACCAGCCCATGGCGGGCTTTGCGTGCTATTTGAAGCCTGGGAGTCTGCACAGTCCTCTTCTAGAAGGTTCTTCCTAGAGCTGGGTCTCTGCAGGTGGAGGGAGAGAAATCTGGAAGCAGACAGCCAGGATGGAAGCAGAGAGGGGATAACAAAGTCACGTTGTGCCTTCTCTCGAAGGTCCAGGCCCCTTGAGAGAGTTTTTCAGATCCTTTTTATTGACCCCCAAACCATATTTCCTTAAATATATCTGTGTATATGTGTTGCCTTTTCCGTTTTAAGTTTATTGCCATTTTGAAAGTCGAAGGTGTACTGCAAAGTATGGGATGTAACCAGAGGGCAAAGGAGGCTTCTGTTTAAGCTGTACCTTAGATCAACACCACGATTTTCTGCCTCACCAGAGCCAGTTTTCCCAGGAGCAACCTGTAATCCTGTAGCTCAGTCAAGTAGACTGTCAGAAAGTTTTGGGGTGAAAAAAATGTTCTGGGGTTAGATGACGGTGGTGGTTGCATAACCTGGGGAATATGCTAAAAGCCACCGAGTTGTGCCCTTTTAAAGAGATTTTATGGTGTGTGCATTCTATCTCAATTAAAAAAAAAAAAAAGACATGTCTAGATGTAAAGTTACGGTTAGTTTTAGGAGGCAGAAAGGGACTCTGAAGAGTACTCTGAGAATTTGTTTTAAGAGCGAGGACATCTGGTCACCTCTGGAGTCACGACTTCCCCGTTTTTGCCAGGAGCTAAAGGCTCCCGGCTTAGCGGGTGGGTGGGTTGAATGAGGCACAGCCGCACTCAGGCATGTAAACAAATTGTCTGCGTGTTCAGGTCAGATGATGCTCAGTGGGAACCAGGATTCAGAGCCCAGGGCGCAGCCACTAGCACCTGACAGCGTCCCTAAGCAGCTGCCTCAGGGGTAACCCTTTACCAAATTCCCCTAAAAAGAACCTTTCTGTATGTGTAACGTGAAGTATGTGCTTATCTCATATAGATTGTTGCAGCTTTCTTACGGGTCAGAAGCAGCTGATAAGCTTTCTCATCTGAAGTGTGGCCCAGCCACATCTCTATCTTACTTGCCTGTAGCCATCGGCATTGCAGATGTGTTCACGTGTCATCTCGCTCAGACACAGCCTATTTGTTAAGCCAAAGCTTTACCGCTTTGCCTCTGCTCATCTTTCTTCTGTGTGCGTATATTATCGTGCTAGACACACAGGAGATAGAGACCAGGAAGGAGAGATGGGGTGACTTCTGTTTCGTCATTCTTCTCAATTCCCACTGGTGCTGTCCTTAGGTCCCTGTCACGTGGTTGCATGGGGAGCATCCAAGTTGCGTTATCCGAAGTCTACGGGGAGTGTTAGCCAGGTCTAGGAAGCAAGTCCAAGTCCAGCCTTCCTGGCACACCTAGTGCTAGTGACACGTTTGACCTTCTCATCAACCTCAGAGTCACTGCCCCTGCCCCCATCCCTCCTGTAAGCCCTTGGCCTGGCCAGGGTGCGGTCAGAGAGATCCATGCTGGCTGCATCCCCCCATCCCCCACTCAGCCCAAAGCATTCTGGGTGCAATGCTCTCTCTAATGATAACACTTCCTTCTGTAACTGAGCTATCCTGAAGGTGCGTGGCTTCTTCTGCACGTGTTATTTCTACACCTTTCATCTAAGCTCTTTGATGTGTAGACGAAGCCTTCTGTGTCATCGTGCTCACTGGCCTCCATCGCCTGGCCACCCCACCCCACATGCCACTGCAGACCTCAGTGCCTGTCTGAACCGTTCCCGCTGTCTTAGAGGAGTCAGCCTTACCTCTCCCCCACCTCCACCTCCCCGTTCCTTTTCCTCATCCGGCCAGTTTCCATTGATCCTGTGAGACAGAGCTCGCTTGTCATGTCCCTCAGGAAACCAGCCCTGGCCTTCTCCTCCGCCGTAGCTCACACCTAGTGTATGAAGCCCCTGGAGGGCAAGGTCGTGCCTTCAGACCCCCAGGGCGCAGCGGGGAACTTGACCCTTGGTGCGGGTAATTTGATGTCTGTTCAGCTATTCAGTTCCACTGTTCAGTGTCTAACATGACTGCCTGTCAACAAGAGTGTGTTGTTTTTTTTCTTACACTAAGAAACCTAATGAGGAAAAGAGCTTTTCTGGGTCACGTTGATAAGGATCTCTGAGTGAATGTAGGAGACTTGGCTCTTCGCTTTACCTAGATGAGCAGATTCAGAAATTAGCATTTGTATTATAATCATACAGAAAGGAAACAGGCTCAAAAACCTTAGGCAGCAATTCCAGGGTCAGTCAGCCAGCAGGCAGTGGGAACTCCAAGCCCAAATAGTTCCTGTGACACCACGCTGTCCCACTTTTTAAAATTTTGTGTGTGTTAAAAAACTTTAAAGGTAAGCAGTATTAAATATCTTTTAGAAATCAGACATTAGTAAAACCAAATTTGACGTCCCCCAGTGCCATATGCATATTATATTCTTTTACAGTTTTAAGACCAAAGTTGACTGAGTGGATTGTCCACCGTGCGACCCGCAGAAGTGGGACCAATTTTGCTTTAATTTATCCTATTTCCATGAGCGTAACTGAAATATTTTTAAATGGTTAAATGGATTTTCATGCCAATATCAGTTGGTTTTGTATATTCTTAGGAGGAAATGAGCTAGAATAGGAAATTGACTTTTGGGAGGGGCTTAATATTAAACATAGAGCAGTTTCAGGACTGTCCATGGTGTTTTCTTACGCTTTTCTGAAATGTAATTGAACGATTCTCTTTTTTTGTTTTATTCAGAAAGAACTTGTATATAATCTCTACCTGATGTCAATTTTCTTTCAGGTGACTTTTCAGATCACCCCTCCGTGTGCCAGCAAGAGGCATTATGAGCATTTTGGACAGTGTTGTAACAAATGTGAACCAGGTTTGTTCTGAGCCACCTTTCATTGTCCCTCATAAGTGGGCGGGGCTTCTGTTAATTTTTTTTAATCTAAGGAAAGATTTCTGTCTGCCAGATGAGCAAAGAAATTGGATGGACTTTTTATGGTAGTGGCAGGTGGTAATGTCTGTCACTCTGAAGACAAAAACCTTTCTCAGTAGATAAAATCACTTAAGAATTAAAAACAATTTCAGAAACTGGTACTTAATTCATACTTGAGAAGGCAAGAAATCTTTTAAAAGCACATTTTAGTACTTTGTGATTCCAACTCTCAAAATATTAAACTCATCTCTTATTTAAAAGTATTTTCACAGAAAAAATTTGAGAGGGGATAACCATCCTGGAATTGTTGCTGCTGAAAATTTGCCTAAATCCTATTCTACCTTTTCCCCCATACCTGCTGAAGGGCAGAAGATGGGCAGGGTACCAGTTCTTCAAAGTTGTTCTGTGGGAATGTGGCCAAGTATTTCTACAGCCCCAGTGGAGTCCCAAACCCATGAGGTCCTCACTCCTTGTTCTGAGGAGGGGAATGTATCTTTGAGGAAAAGGTGGTTGCATTATAACAAGACCCTTTAGATATTTCAGCTACAAGTACTTCTTGGATGTGTAGACCCAGGATCCCGTGCGTGCGTGTGTGTGTGTGTATGTGTGTGCAGGGCTCTGCTCAAACTAAGTTAGCTGTCAGCCCACAGTGTACATAGGACTGAAGATGTCAACTATCCAGACTGATGGTAGGGAGCACTCTGAAGACGGGAGGGGAGGGGTGAAATGAAGCCCCTGTTGCTTAGTCCCCAGGGAACCCCTCAAGTTCTATAGACACCAATTTGAAAACCACCGTTCTTTTCCTTAGTCAGCAGAGGTTTGGGATGGAAAGGGTGATCTCTCATTTAGAAGAACTAGAAGACTGCTGTGACCACAGGCACAGCAGACCAAAGAGGGGCTATTTTAGCCGGCTGGGAGGCCTGAGGAGCCCATCACAGTGAGATATGGCCTTGTCTCATGTATCGGACCGTCTTGGAGACACTTCCTGAGATCACAGTCATGTAAATAGTCCAGTAGATTGGTGCATTTTTGTTGTATTTTGTTGTTCTGTTTTGTTTTCGTATACTTTCGCTTGATGTATTTTTTCTGATTTACGTTCCTTCTGATTTAAGGAACGTACATGTCTTCCAAGTGCACTCCTACCTCTGAAAGTGTCTGTCTGCCCTGTGGCCCGGACGAATACCTGGACACCTGGAACGAAGAAGATAAATGCTTGCTGCATAAAGTTTGTGATACAGGTGAGTTAGTCATATCAGTGGGAAGTGGGGGTAAATCATATTTTTAGATACAGCAGTGCTGTCTCTTTGGGGGGCTTAGGAAGAAATTTTGGCCACGGACCATGGAAGGAGGTGCTTCAGATCCCAGAAGCACTGCGTTAAAATTCATTTAGAGCTTTTGTCTGGAATTTGTCTGTGTTGTACTTTAATCATGGAACACATCTTACAGTTGACAAGATATTTCCACAGTGTTTCCACGTATGTCGTGTTATTCAATTCTGACAAAAACCCTGTGAGGTAGCCACGATGATCCCATTTTAAAGATGAAGAAACTGAGACTGGGAGGTTGAATGACTTCTCCAAGGTTAACCAGTAAGGAGCAGGGCTCAAAGCCAGATCTTCTGATTCCCAAGTCTTTTTCCTAAAACATGAATGTTTTATTAACTCCATAGTTTAATCTCCTTATCACACTGCTATAGTTTTTTTTGCCTCAAATTTTTAAAAATTATAGCTTATTTGTAGGAATCAGCATCAAAATAGATTCCTTAAATCTCAAACTAGAGTTTCAAAATATATTCCTTAAGTCTCAAACTAGAGTTTCCTGTCTTCCTCTTTTCTTTTTCGTTGTTTATCTGTGGAAGATGCCTTCGGGTTTGTCATCCTGTGGGGTTTCCACAGTCTGACTTTGGCTGGTTGCATTCCCTTGGTATCATTCAGCGTAGTCTTCTGTCTCTTATGTTTCCTGTAATGTGGTTGTGAGATCTAGAAGGCTGATTAGATTCTGGTTTTTTTGTTTTGTTTTGTTTTATTTTGTTTTGTTTTGTTTTTGGCAAAACTCCTTCCGAGTTGGCATGATGTAACTTATGTCAGGAATCATATCATAGCTGCTTTTCTCCCTTTGTGACATGCGCAGCTATTGATCATGACCTAGATTCATTTTCCTTAGGAGCTGCAGAAATCTGATGTTCCAGGTCTATCACTCCTTCATTTCTTAGCTGTAATGCTTTATAAAGAGAAATTTCCCTCGTCAACCATTCGTTACTCTGAAATACAGTACCAACAGAACGAATGCTTGTAACTTTCTTCACCGCTTCTCCAAATACTGACTTGGCCACCCAGCTTTCTTCAAAGCATTCGTACGAATATTCTGAACTCGTGAATTTTGACGCCTTTGAGGTGTTTCAACCTATTGCAGTTACTGGTCTTACTGGTGCTCAGATCGTCCTGCCGCCTCCAGGTGGCCTCCAGTTAGATACAAACCCTGGGGTCTTTCAGAGCTCACCTTGGATGTTTCCTGCCCTGCACCTGCCACCAGCCATTCCTCCAGCGACCTCAGTCTAAGTGCTAGGGAGGCTCATTGCTACTGGGTTGATCTTATTTATAGGGTTTTCCCCCCCCCAGTGGATATAACTAGGAAATAAGTATTTTTTTTTACATCATAATTTTTCTAATGTGTTAGAGACAGCTGACAGATTTGGGTTGGAGAAGGTAACATGGAAACTCTACTCACGGAGCAGAAGCATCTGATCAAGTCTTTTTCTTTCCCAGCGCTTAGTAATGACCTTGACTCATCGTTGTCTCTTGGAAATAAAGATTCATTCTGTCCACTGCCAAAATGGATTAAAACGCAAAAACCTGGTACATTAAGATAATTAAAAATATACCACAATTGTTGGTCACCACACAGGCCTCCATGCACTTGCATTCGAGTGGGATGCTGGATTAGAATTTTCGAAAGGAGCGGCAGTGTCCACGTGTGTTCCAGACACCGTGTGCACGTTCATGCATGCTGGCCTCGGTGTTGCCAAGCTGACCTCGGCCTTGGAGAGTGAACACGGGACTGGAGATTTCTCCAGGTTCACCATGCTCGGGCCTGATAAGGGTGGGAATAAGGACTGTCCCACTCTGCTGGCTGTAACTTGAGACAGTGAAAGAGGGAACAGGACTCTGGTTTGTTTGTTTCTTTTTCCCTGGCAACTCTGTCCTAGTAGTTCAGGCTAGTATAACAGAGTACCACAGATTGGGTGGCTTAACCAACAAAAATTTACATCTCACATTTCTAGAGGCCGGAAGTCCGAGATTAGGGTGCCAGCATGGCTGGGTTTTTGGTGGGGGACCGCTTCCTGGTTTCAAGACAGGCTCTTTCTTGCTGTGTCCTCACATGGCGGAGAACAGAGAGAGGAAGCAAGCACTCAGCTGTCCTTTCTTATAAGGGCACTAATCCCATGCATGAGGACTCTACCCTCATGACCTCATCACTTCCCAAAGACCCCGCCTCCTAACACCATCTCATTGATGGTTAGGAGTTCAGTATAGGAATTTTGAGGGGACACAAACATCAGTTTATAACAAATTCCTGTAAGTATTCAGAAATATAAAGTATAAGGGCCATTTAGACAGCCCAGGTGAGAAGGATCCAATAGGGGTAGAAGGTCTGTAAATAATGTCATCGTGGCGTGTGTGTATGTGCATGTGCATGTGTGCAGTTGATTCTCATTCACAATAATTATGTTCTATAAAGTCACCACAAACATTCCTCCCAGAGAAATACAGATACCTACAAGCCTCTCCTCACTTTTCTGGCCGCCAGTCAACACATAACCTTGTTGTATGTGTGTTTTTGTTTAAGGACACCTTATTAATAAACACTTTGATTCATTAACATTGGATGTACAGTCCACAGCACTGTAACTCATGTCTGAACAAAGTTTATCTAACACACGTATTTTCTCCGTAAGACAAATCACAGCCTTGTTGGGCTTAAAAGCACTAGACAGCACTATCCTTGGAGGCCATTTTAAACAGCGAAATCACCAACAAAAGGCACAAAAATGCCAAAAAAAAAAAAAAAATAGGACACTAAATAGACCACAAAAAGGACACTTATTTCCAGTATAACAGCTGAAACAAAAAAGCAGAATGTGTCACCTTATTCTCTCTTAGTCAGGAACATGCGTGCTTGAAAGTGAGTAGCTTAAAATTTTCACAATTCTGCGTGTGTCAGAATGACTGCAGAAGTGCCAGGAGAATTGGTTTGGGACAATGAAATTTTAGCGAGTAGATGAAATTGCAGACATGAATCAGTGAATAACTGTGTGTGAGCATTTACCTCTTGCACAAAAAGTGGGAAAGGCCTGGAGATTTGGGATAAGAAGACAGCACTTATCTATGTGTTGTCACAACAAAAGGGACAAATGTGGTAGTCTGCGTATTTGGGGAGAGATGAATTTTCAAGTATGTCTTCAGACCCAACCTCTACACTTTGTCACGTGATGACCCCTGCTTTCCAACTGAACTGCCGTGGCCCCATGGGATGGGGAGGCGGGGGTAGGGATCCCCAGGCTCCAGAAACCCCGTTCTCTTAGGTCCTATCTAGCATTCCTGTTAAGACCATTTATCACATTCGAATTTACTAAGAATCAAGAATCTGTGACACCTCTTTGCATTAGCCAAAATAGTCGGTGATCATAAACCTAGTCCTTCATCTTCCCGCTTACGTGAAAGTCGACTTTTAAAAAACCACAAGGCTCTTAATTATTGAGAAAGAAAACCCTCTGGGTCTTTCTAGTGCCAGCACAGGAAGCTGAGAGGGAACTTGGGAGTTCCTGAAAGCCAGTGTCCTGAATGAGCCCTAGGGGGCGGGAGGCCGGGCGCTGGCCTGGGAGGCGCGGCGCTGGTGCCGCTTTGCTGGCTGGGTGGGTGGAAGGCGTGTGCAGCCCTGCGCCCGCCCGCGCTGCCTCGCCGCCCTGTCTCTCTCGCCCGCAGGCAAGGCCCTGGTGGCGGTGGAGCCCGGTAACCGGACGGCCCCGCGGCGCTGCGCCTGCACGGCCGGCTACCACTGGAGCGAGGACTGCGACTGCTGCCGCCGCAACGCGGAGTGCGCGCCGGGCTTCGGCGCCCAGCACCCGGGTATGGCGCTGGGTCCCGCGTGGGTCCGTCCGCGCTCACCAGGTCTTGCAATGACCCTGCGGCCAAAGCCAGCTTCCCTGCGTCATTCACGCTCCCGGGCGCCAGGTGGCGCTAGAGGAGCTGGAGGGTCCCCGGGGATGGAGCCCAGGTTAGGGACTTCCAAGGGATATGAGCGCTTGGCGCAGGTGCTTTCCCCAAGCCCTTCAACTGTGAAACCTTAGGCTCCCCACTTGCAGGGGTGGGGAGGGAACCCTCTAATGCAGTGGTCTTCAAACATTGTGCGCCCCCATTAGCACAATTTTGAAAAACCGTGCATCCTTCTGCATATTCGTAAGTTGACAGCTCAATTTTTTTAATTAAAAATTTAAAGAGTTGCTAAGGACTTAGTTTCTAAAATAGTCGATGAAATAGAAACACCATAGCAATTCAATACCCATTATCATTTATTTAAAAAAGGACAAATCAACCTTAACAACTGGAAATGTCCTATAGTTCTTTTCTCTCCTTTGAGTTGTATACAGTTCACCTTCCCTGCAAAATTTTATCCTAATGTATTTTTGTACTTGCAGGGTTTTTACTAATCACCTTTTCATACACTTTTACGTAAAAAAAAATTAAAATGGACTTATTCGAAATCTTAATTTTAAAAAAATTTCTGTGACTCAAAGTTCTAAGGGTTAAAAAGCAGTTCTTTTGGACTAAGCTATTTCTACAGTTATACAATAGGTCAAAAATAAATATATTTTGTTATATATAACTATAAAAATAAAAGGTTTCTGAAATTCATAATGAGTGGTTTTTTCCAATTAGTTCATACAGTCATGGTTGAATATTGCTTATTGCTAAAATGCAACTGAATTCAACATTAACTCTGTTTCTGCTGAGTGCTGAGAAACTCATTCACGTAAATAACTAAATGGCTAAGGGAGGAATTCTGTTCTAGGAGTGCCACTCAATTCTTTAAGCACCTTCTGAGTTAAATGTCCAGGATCACATAGTGGTGTGACATTAGAGCTGTTTTTAATAATCCCCCAGTTTAGAAATCAATTGTGTCCTTCAATTTTGGGGAAAGTAAAGCAATAGAAATCCTTTTGACTTGAAAATGTGTTTCTTAAAGTCATTTACTTTCCTGATGTCTAGGAAGTATACCAAAGCGGTGTCTTCAAGATACAACAAATGATTATTTATACCTGTTAATCTTTCCCTTAGAGGCATTGAGTTTTAACCCAGAATACTTTGACAGAATTAGGAGAATTAAACTATTATTCATTTCAGTTCATATTGAGGAAAATGTCTGTCACAGAATCAAACTAGTACAGTCAGCCCTGATTATCAAATATATCAACTAAACTAGATCAGCTTTCTCTTAGAAAAAGTCTGACTTGATATTTTAATTATTAAAATAAATCTCCCTGTGACAGTTCCCTTCTGAATTCTGATTCTCAGATAGACAAGTCCCAGAACCTTTCCGCAAGTCTGTCAACCGCATAGGAAAAGGTGCCGCTCCCTATTCTGCTTTTTTTCTGACTGGCGTTCTCTCTGCCTTGCTTCTTTGGGAATGGTACATTTTTGGGCAATAAGTGAACAGAGGGGGGGACATAGATCAATGAAAATGTCACTCCAGCCCTACCTTATACTATACCCTTGAGTCTTGAACAACACGGGTTTGAACTGCGTGGGTCCACTTATACGCACATTTTTAAAAACTTATAGTATCAATAAATACAATACAGTATTTTCTCTTTCTCACAACCTTAATAAAATTTTATTTTCTCTAGCTCTATTGTAAGAATAACATGTATAAAATACATGTTAATCGACTTTATGTTATCGGTAAGGCTTCTGGTCATCAGTAGGCTGCCGGTAGTTAAGTTTTAGTGGAGTCAAAACTTACATATGGAGTTTTGACTCGAAACCCCTAAACTCCACATTGTTCAAGAGGCAGCTGTAGTTGAACTCTGAGCCACTCAGCCTGGCCCGTTCCCCATTTCCATGTCGCACGTTTGCTCTTAATAGACAGGGAAAGACAGAAGCTGTACCGACCTGCTCAGAATGCAGGGCTCTGCCGTCACCAGTATTCCCTCTCGTTCTGTGCTTTTTGGCATCTCAGAGGCTTCGCGCCATAGCAGGATTTGGAGTAGGTGAGAAGTGTGACTTTCGTGAAGTGGGAGAAGTGTGACTATGAAGGGGGAAGAGGAGGGGATCTTCAGGGAGCCCCTGGCAGGTCGGCATGACAAAGAGCAGACATGGAAACCTGGTGTGTGGAGTCAACGCCCCTTAGCCCTGTTGCCTCTTAGCTCCTTAGCCCCTTTGTTTTTAAGGGTTACTCTTCTAGAGTGTGTTTATCTTTTTAAAAGCTGTTTGAAAATTAACGTGAGTGTCCAGATGTCAACCGGGCTTTTGTTAATATCATTTCAAGGCAAATCAAATTGCTAGATTGAGGGGGAGGGGTATCTTACTTATTGAGGCAATTGCAGAAGTCAAGAATGTACCTCTCCCACTTAACACTGGGCAAAGAACATGTAATTCCTTATTTTAATGTTTTATTCATAAAAATAAATCACAGAAGGGCCACCAACTTCAAGAGTCATTTGTGGTTTTGGTGCCAGCCAGTTGCCTGATCGTGACATCACATGGCAGGCGACATTCTTCTTTATTGGGATTACCAAAGGGTCAGCACGTGTCCGTAAGCAGTAAAGATATTAGATGTAGGAAATCCGAGACGTTTCCTATTTTGATAATATAGTTTATGAGGAATATGAGAGAGGTGAAGAAAGCTTACTAGCCAGAGCCAGTTCCTGCTTTCAGCGCTGCGGCTTAAGGCAGGGGTCCAAAGCCCAGCCACCACTTGCGTTTTGTAAATAGAGTTGTATTGGAACATAGCCACACCCATTTTTTTTAAAACAGATTTTCTCTGACTGCTTTCATGCTTCAAATATTTGTAGCCGAGACCAGAAGCCTGCAAGGGATATTTACTGTACAGACGTTTATAGAAAAAGTTTGCTTCCAACTCTGGGTTCAAGAGAAGGAGGCCCACAGCATTTTTTTTTTTTTTTAAGAAAGCTGATACTCCCTGACTTGGACTGGTGAGATTAAGCTGGCCGAAGAGGTCAGGACAAGAAGTTTCCCTTAACAGCAGTAAAAGGGCTGCCATTCTCTGTAAACGAAGGGTGATGTGAGCCCAAAGGGCGGGAAGGAGAGAGCAGACTCGTGCCTGATTAAAGCAAGTCAGGCAGCAGGCTTCCTGGCCAGGAAACGAAGTATCAGTGACTAGGACGGTGGCTCTGAACAGCAAAGGGTCCACACCTAACTTGGATACTGGCGTTAGTGGTCTGATCATCGCTCTATACTCTACTGCTGGGATCGGGGGCCCCTCTAAAGTCTTTGGGGGCAGGAGGGGTGGGGAGGCCAGGAGCAGAGGGGCCAGCTCCTGATCTCTGGTCTTCTGGAGCATCATCCTGGCCGATCTCTAAGTGTCCTTGTTCGGTTTTTGTCTATTCTTTTTGTCCATTTGTTTTTTTGACAGTGCAGCTCAACAAAGACACGGTGTGCCAGCCCTGCCTTGCCGGCTACTTCTCGGATGCCCTCTCTTCCACAGAAAAGTGCAAACCCTGGACCAAGTAAGTGGCAGTGAAGCAGCCGAGAGAGTTTGCTGATTTTAAACAACTTGACCTCCACTGTCTCGTCTGGGTGGAAAACAGACCGATTCATTTTGGCGAGGCGTCCTCTGGAAGCCATGTTCAAAATGGAAGAAGTCTGTCAGTTCCATGCGGGTAAAATGAACCAGGCCAACCGACTCTTGTGCCTGATGTGTGCCAGGAACTGTGTTACTTTTTAGATTCAGTTTGATTTATACTTGCAGCTTCTTTTTTTCCTTTTTCTGACCTTATCTAGTTGAAAATGATGGGTGACGTTTATTATCATTCACTCACCACTCCCACTTTTCCCAGCTTCCCAACACCATTGGTTTATGTGTCCAGAGATTTGTGCATATGTGTGTTGTGTATGTGCATAAATAAGCTTCCTGTTTATGTAAATTTTGCATACTGTAAACACTTGGGGTTTTTTTTTCACAAAATATATTTTGAAAGAAGCTCATTCTATATCAGTTCTCTTAGATCTTCATGGCTTTTTATAGCTACATAGGATTTTGTCGTAGAAATGTACAATAATTTATTTAATAAGTTTCCTATGGCTAGTCATTTAGGTTGTCTTTTGCAGTAATTAATAATTTTAGAAGCATCATCTCATACATATGCTATTTCACACTTACGTTAGTATATCTATAGTGGAACCCTGGGTCCTTTCATTAGGTTGAATACTAATAACATAACGATTCAGTTCCCAATATATTCTCATTAAATATTTATTTTCTAATCTACTTATCCAAGTTTTATGTTGAAAAGATTTTCTATATTTTCAACTTAAAAAGAGCATTCATCACAAGTTTGTCAATTAGAAGCATTTGGAATCTTCTTTAACGAAAAGACCAGTCTACTTTCTTTCAACCATGCTCTCGGGGAGGTTCTTAGAGAACACTGGCAGTGGCTATTCTGCTGATTCATTCGTCCTCTCGGGTGATGTAGGGACAGATTCTGGAGATCCAAATGTCCAGGAAGACCTGGGTTCTGGTCCTGGAGGAACTAGAAATCTAGTGGACGAGAGTCTTTTATAGCTTTTTTTGTTTGTTTTTTAAATATATAAAACCAAAGCACATAACTACTTTCTCCCCACCCACAGCTGTACCATTCTTGGAAAGACAGAAGTGCATCATGGGACGGATAAATCAGATGTGGTTTGTAGTTCTTCTCAGCCATCTACAAAACTCCCAAACGGTAAGTTTAAGCAGAGCAGGTTGTTTGGTAGATGTGCCTGAGTCTAGTCAGCTCTTCTAGAGTGCTCCCGAATTACTGTTTCCAGAGGGTTTATCTGTCCCTTTTGATGTCATCCCATCCATGGTCAGTTTAGTATTTTATTTTGGTCAGCATTTTGCTTCCAGATATGTTGTTTACTTGATAATTTTCTACTCTGGAATCAATAACTAATAATATATTCATATGTACAAAAAAAAGAAAAAAGTGAACTGAACTGCAAACGTAAATTAAAATGTCCACGGATGGTAGGGATGTTTCTAGATTTCGGTCACCAACCAGAGTAAGCAACTTGTTAGACTATGGTTATCATTATTTATGACACATTTTGTAGATCAAATTAATTTTAAGTACCGTGCCGAAGATTTATAGAAAGTCGTCAGGTAACGGTGAATGCGGGTTGTCCAGGCGCATGAGATGCTGCTGAGGAGGGTCCAGATATCACAGCGTGGGAGGGGACGTCATGTCAGGGAGACCATTCTAACGAGGCCAGAGAACCTAGGACACAGGAGAGTGGGGTTGATGAACTTTGACTAAGAAAGTCAGGGGTTTAGATATGACATTTTGAGAAGCAAGAGGACGTGGGTATGGAGTTCCACGGTCAGAGCTGCGTTTTAAAAAGACCATTTTGAAGATACCATTAAAAATAACCAAGGAATAGCAAGTTATTTTTTTAAAAAGAGAAGGGGAGGAAAGGCAGAGTCCTGGAAGCCAGGTCATGCAAACCAAGAGTTTTTCATGTAAAGGTTCTAGCAACGAAGGGATTAAGGGGGAATGAAAAAAAGGGTGGAGTCCATGTCATGTTGGAGATGAAACACCTGAAACACTTCACAGGGTAGCTGTGGTTCTGTTCTCACGGCCAGCGAAACCCTCGTGCCTTGTTGTTATTTGGGAAGAGACGTGCCAAGGGGCTTCCTTTTGCCTCAGAGGCCGTCCGCCTGGAGAGATTGAGGTGCTCTGTCGGTAAGCAAAGACGGACCTGGATGGCATGGTCAATGCGATGTGAGTTCTAAAGTGGAAACATCTCCACATGGTCCCGGGCTGTTCTCACGCACAGTGATGCCAAGCAGCTGGTCGCCCTTCCGAATGTGAGCGCTGCGTGAGAACCTCCAGTCAGGGCCGGGGACCGCCCCCCTTCCCTTATTCCGGACCAGCATCCTCGATTCTGGGCTTTGATGTAAAGAGTTCTGTCTTTAAACTTAGAGACTGAGATTAAATAACGTTTTATTGCCATTTTTCTCCTTCTCTTCCAATGCAGAGCCCGGGATTTACTTGCCCACTCTGACTGTTTTGCTCCTCTTCGTATCCGTGGTGTTAGTCGCCGCCGTCATCCTTGGCGTTTACTACAGGAAGAAAGGGAAGGCGCTGACAGGTATGGTGTCTGTGGCGGTTCTCGAAAGTGACTCTTGAAGAAAATAGATCACATTTCTAGTTATATACTTTGGAAAATGCATATGGCACCCGCTGACTACCTCTGGTGATCTGCTAAAAATACGTGCCTCGAGGTGGTTGTGCTTAAATTAAAGGGAAATACCATTTAAGTGTAACCCATTGTTCTCTGGCAAAACAAACAAACAGAACCCATTGTGCTTATTTCTGTATAAGCCAACAAGAACATTCTAGGGTCAGGAAACTGATGACTCATAAACTGCGTGTTTATGTCATGTAGGTTAAACAGGGTCAGATAGATATACATTTATTCTAGAATACAAACATTTTTAATGCACCCACTTAAAACAAACAGTGGTGGGGGGAAAGTTTGATCTGAGTATTACCTTGAAATATGAATCTAAAATTATAAAAAGTTATATTCAGTAAAACTTGGGTTTTACTCATTTCGAGAAGGAATAATCAAGTGTTATTTTGTTTATTGTGAATAATTTTTGCACTAAAAATTGATAGTGTGTTTTTACATCACATCGTGTTTGACTTTTATACTATAAAGCTAAAGAGGTGTAATTTTTAAGAGGATTCAAGGCTTCATGTGGCTTCCCAAGTCACCCCGTTCTCTTCTGAAGCACCTGCTGTCTCCCCATCCCTTTGCATTTTCGGTTGCTCACTTGTTTATCTCGTCCACCTCTGCTTTGCAGTGATCTGATCGGTTCTCCCACGTCACATGCATGGCCTTCATGAAACCCTGCATATCTTGCTATTTCCATGAACATCACATTACCTCATGTAACCGTAGGCAATCAAAGAAAATTAAAGAGGGAAGATGGTGATCGTGGGTGCCAGTGTTAAGCAGAGAGCAATGTTAAACCAGTTCTTTTAAATCTATTCGTTGTTGAATATTTTTATTTACTGTAACAACATTGTAACTGGGGATTTGAATAACGCATATCCACATGATGCGGATGGCTCATATAGTCATTTATGTGTGAGATAAACAGACTTTCGCTGTTTGTTCTTTAATTTTTGCCTCTGTAAGAAGCTCTTAGGCCATCTGATCGATGAGGACAATGGGCCTACCAGTTACGAAACTGGGATTTATGACTGTTAGCTTTCTCTTCGTTCCTTCACACAACACATGACTGTCGGCCACCAGGGACCGGACTGACAGGGGTCTCAGTACTGGGCACACAACGGCAGTAAGTGCCCACAGGCCCTCATGGAGGAGGTGTCCCAGTGGGCAAGGCAGGCATCAGAGCCACAGAGTGAGGCTGCATGTAAATAGGGAAGGTGCACAGCACCAGGTAAGCAGATGACAGAAGGGTCTGCCCAGCCTTGGGGGCAGCCAAGGCCTCCCAGAGGAGGAGAAGAGAGGGTGGGGAGAGCTGAGATCTGAAAGACAAACTGGAATTGACTAGCCCCAGGGGGTCAAGGAGACTCCAAAGCATTCTGTACGGAGAGAATAGAGAATTTCTAGAGAATTTCTCCGCAGAGGGAGCAAGGCGAGCTGGGGGATGGAAAGAAGTTTAGAACAGTGGGAGATGCAACTGGAGAGGGCGGCACAGCCAGATGACAGCAGTCCTGCAGGCTTTGCTGAGGAATTTACTCCTTGTTCTTAGTGAAGGGAAGGAAAAGCAGCCCTCTGGTTTTAGCATAGAAAACAGATTTGGAGATGCGGAAAG